GCTCTTCGTTGTGAGGTTTGAAACTATGTCACTCAGCTTCAAAGATGATTTTTGTTGTTGTTGTTGTTTAATGTTTATAATAATTTCTGTATTCACATTCACATTTAAGGTGATCACTTACATAAATGATGCAAGACAAGGAAAAAAGTGTCTTGGTGCAGTGCCTACTCTTAATAGTCTCGGATAAATGGTTACAGAAAGATATGCTGCCAGTTGACTCATGCAGTGACTCACACACTGTTTACTCAGAAGAGGAAGGAAAATACATTTCAAAATGAAGAGCTGGATAAATGATCAAGAAATGATATTTTGTTTTTTCATTGGAGTGATTTTTGAGTAACTTGCTATACTTTTATTTACAATGCCGCATGACGTCTTGGCATTTTAATATCGCACCCTTCTAAATCATTCTCCCCACCAGGGAAATGCGCATTCACAACATCTGACAAGTTATAGTGTTGGAAGTTGAAGTGTCCTTCTATTTTTGACTCCACAGTGTAGGCCTCGAAGTGAGATGAGGTTTAGCGTAGCTGCTCTTTGCTCTTTGATCTGGTGGAGCTTTGATAGACCCCGGAGGCTGTACTTAGGCTGTCCATATCGAGTTCTGCTGCGGGGTGATGGCTTTCGTAGCACAATTCCTGTGGCTCAAGTGGCTGTGTTTGACATGAAAATGGCACTTACAGGTTCCTCCGCTTCCACTAGTTGTCATTGTGTTATTGTCCATTTTGTGGAAGTGTCTCTTTTATTTATTTATTAGTTATAAAAATCGTTTTCGGCACACTTCATTCTAGAGGGGAACACAATCACGGAGAGAAAGACGGGAAAAGAGTTTATTTAAGGAAAGTCATTGTGAACATGGTAATTTTCTCCAGTGCTTCATTTGTTCCACAAAAAGATGATAATTTTTCAGATCAAAGTGTATTTTTATTACAGTTGTGTAGAATCGGTGAGATTGCGGAGGGAATGAAGAGAGACGGGCAGGATGATTTCCAGACAAATTCAGTCACAAACAGCTCTCTGTGACTGTCAACTTTGAATAACAGCACATAGTTTTAGTTAAAGAATTACTTTTGTGTACATTTCAAAGAACATTTTTGCTTTTGAAGTTGAATGACGTGATTTGATTTTTATTATTATCTCCCAAATGAGTCTGCGGAGTTTGCTCGAGACTTTGATAGGATGCAGGACAAGCTGAATTAGAGAGATGAAAACTTTTACTTTTGCGACATTTTTATTTATTCTGTCTGTTTTCGGCCTGGATTGCTTTTCGGCAGTAGTTCAGTTGTTCCCTTCCGTTTCTGTACATGAATGAGGAGTATGAGCACAAGTATACCTCTCTGCTTTTCCCTTTCTCCTCGACTGCATCAATCATCCCACAGCTCAGCCCCCCCACCACCCCTCAACCACCCGCATCCAGTTCAGCCCACTCAGACTCATTGTTAAGGGGACATATTGGAAAACTATTAGCTCTCATTATGCTTTATGACCACCCGCTCTCCCCATTCTGTCTTTTAATCACTTTCCATCCCTTGTGTGCATGTGCGCACATTCTTGTGTGTGTGTGTGAATGTATGCGTGTATATACGCCGCAGCCACAGCGGCCAGGCGGACAGTAATGAACCACTTTCACTGTAATGCAATCGAGGCCCCTCCTTCTCCCATTTTATTGGCAAGTCAATTGCAGTGGCGCCACCTTTTATGGCGGCCCATCCAGGCTGCAGAAGTGTTGTGCATTCATGTACCATGTCAGCCAAATGGGATCAAGTCCAGGGCAATACAAATAAAATGAGATTGGACTGAATTGGGTATGGATTCTCTTTTTTTTATTTTTATTTTATATGAAGTCCTCATAGAGGTGAAAACCCTCAGAGGAAACCTTACAGTATCCATTCGGTCCTCGTAACTCCAAATAACCAGGCTCTCATAAAGTGCTAAATATCTTGTAACTTCTCTGTATTGAGTCGTGCGGTGCGATCATCCGTGACAACGCGTGTGCATGCATGTGCACGTGTTACTGGCAGTGCAGAGAAATGGCAATTTTGAACATATGCTCTGTGACAGACACACAAAAGCTGACACACACGTGTGTAATGAGTAGTTTTAAGTTCCAGTTGTTCGCTCCTGGCCAAGGCAACTGTCATCATTGTGCAGCAAAACTCCCATAATCCATCGGTGGCATGACCGCAGTCTAGCTTTCCCAGCAAAAGCTATTCTCTCTGTCTCTCCATTTGTCGATCTCTTGCTTTTTTTCCCATCTCCCCCCCCTCCATTTTCATTCCCCCTGCTTCACATTTCCCCTCTGGACTCTGTTTTATTCTTCCCTCTTGTCTCCTTTCGCTTTTCCAATTACGATTTTTTTTCCACACTTAATCTGCCTTTCTCTGGGAACTTTTATCTGGGGTTGATGACAGTGGAGAGGCTGAGTTGGAAGAAAAAAAGGGTGATAGCTTCAAATTATTGTTGACGACAGTGATGATGACGGTGATGATAATGAGAGAAATCTGAATGACAATGATGCCATTAATGATGATTAAAGTGGAAATGTGGATGACAATAACCTGAAAATTGGGATAATAGCGGTCGTTGTCTTTCTAAGCAATATCCATGTTTCCCCTTGGTCCAGATGGAGAGAGACAGACGGAGGGGACCGACGCCAGCCGAAAGAGGGACACTCGCTCCTCAGCCGGACACCACAAGAGCGAGGACACCAGCGACAGCAGGGAGGACGATGCGGGAGTGAGTGTTTCTTTTTTTAATGCCTTTCCTATTTTCTGTGTTACCACTCAAGAGTGAATATTAATTTGTTGCCCATGACTAATCACATGCTCCCTACCCGGCCCACATCATTTTTGACTAAGCAGCAGTGTGGATTGTTGCTTATGTGCAGGGGGACTGCTATGCACCTACTGCTTATTACATGTTTTATTCTGCAAGAGTCCAGTGCTACAAAGCCCTTGTGCTATAATTAAAAACATTAAACATAATTAAACAGGACAATCCGCTTACAGGTAAAGACGTCCATGAAACTGGCTGATGTTGAAGACGAAATAATAAAGGCGTCTGTCATCAGATTTTATTGTTTAGAAAGTTTTCTTTTTTCACTCCAGCCCATCTCCAGCTTAGCCTCCTGACCCCACCCACTGCAGTGAATTTTAATAATGTTTCCAGCTCTGGGAGGCCACAGCTCAAATTAGATTGTGAATACATTATGCAATCTAACCTCCTCTTCGAGCATTTATTTCTCTGATAGTTTTCACGCAGAGAGATGTGAAATTAGTCGGAGTTATTTTCAACGGCAAAAATATAAGACAGAGTTGGACCGCAGCCAGGGATCATTAGCACTTGGTACATGCAGCAGTAAGCCGCAGAGATAATCTGACACTTAAGCTCATATTTAGTCTTTTTTTTTCTTTACTTCTAGTCTTATTTAGAGGAAAGTAGAGCAATTTTAGACAATTTCATTTATTTTAGATAATTTTCAGTTGTACGGGACCTCCGGGGTAGACTTCCTCCAGCTGTTTGCTGAAATGACAAACCAGTTTTTTTTTTCCCCATGCGCGGTCCAAATGAGGACTATTATCAAAAATCCTCTTAAAAAACTCTTGCTGTGAAAATAAATGTGATAAACTGTTGTCTCCAAATATGTACCCAT